AGCACTTGGGAGAGGCAGGATGATCTCTTATGAGATCAAGACCAGCCTGGTCTACATAGTAAGTTCCAGGCCAGCCAGGTGCTACTGAGAGATCTTGCCTCAAAGGGGGGAGAAAAACCTAAATAAATAAATAAATAAATAAAAACAAATAAAAAGTACTTCCTTTCTAGGAACACAAGAACAGCCATATGGACCCACAATATTTATACTTAGTTATCATGGTGACAATCTTCCTTCCTACACTCTATTCCATACCATTTACTGCTACTATGGCTCAAATGTGCCCCCTCCCCCTTTGTTCCTCAGTGTGGCAATATTTGGAGGTAATGGAAACTTTAAGAGGAGGGAACTAGTGGGAGATGATTGAGTAATTGGAGATATCACTTTGGGAAGTAATGTATTCTCAAGGTACTTTAGTTAGTTCTCAAGCGTTGTTATAAAAAAAATCAAGATCAGCCCCTCCCTGGAATTTGGATTTAGAAAATGGCTTCCAGAGAGACCCTCTAAACTAGTCAGCCTGACTACATAGATTTCAAAGGTCTTTTAGACCCCTTTTATGGATGAACCTACTCTACTTTTTCTTTTGGGTAGAAAGTTTTAGTATTATGTGCCATCACTTGCAATCCCACAAAGCCTCATTATGTTCCCCAGGATGGTACCCTGAAGTGCTCAAGATGTGTGCCTTTTCCAGTCCAGCAAAGACAAGCCAGTTGCAGGTATCTGTGTGCTGTCTGCAGGGAACTGCATAGACATCTGGGACAGACTGGGACAATGGCTAGGAGGAGAGAGTATGGAATATTGATGGTCAAAATTCAGTATTACTTGTCAGCTAATTGAAGTCTACAGTTGAGGTACCCTGAGAGGTTCATGACCAGCCATCATGGTGAAGTCAAAAAGTCAGCTAACAGGACCTGTGACCAGCAGTTAAGCAAGCTGTTATGAGCCCCTAACCCTTTTCCTGCTCTTAGCTATCCTCAGACTGTTCAGCCATGATGCTCTTCCTGTTCTGGCAAGATTGTACTTAGCAACATTAAGAACTCGGGAGGCAGAGGCAGGCGGATCTCTGTGAATTCAAGGCCAGCCTGGTCCACATAGTGAGTTCCGGGACAGCTGGGGCTACAGGGAGACCCTGTCTCAAAAAGACCTACCCCCCAAAATGCCAACAAAGCCAGACACTGACTTTGTTTTCATTTTCCCCCTAAGAAAACTCATGAGCCAAGCAGGGCCTTTCTAGGTACTATGCTGTGCTGTCATATGGGAAGATGACATAAGTGAAACTGTTCTTAGCATCTTCAGTGCAGCTATTCTTGGATGTTTAAATTTTTTTTTTTTCTGTCAGGGTGCTGGAAAGAGCTGATTTCTTGCATTCCTATATTCTTATTCACTGGTGGTTGTTAAAGTTGGTGTTTTGAAGGGGCTAGAGAGATGGTTCAGAAGTTAAGAGCATTGGTTGCTCTTACAGAGGACCTGGGTTTGGTTCCCAGCCCCCACATGGCATCCATAACTCCAGGGGGATTCAACGACCCTCTTCTGACCTCCTCAGGCATTGCACAACATGGGTATACTGACATACATGCAGGCAACACATAAAATAATAAAATATATTTTTAAAAGTGAGTGTTTTGAGAGCTTGTGGCCTATTAGTCGCATCTGCTATAAATCAGGATGCGTTTAATCTCAAGTGTATTCCATAGAAAATGCATCTATGTCTGAATTTACTTGCTCAAAGGCAAAATGAAAAGAGTTCAGCAATGTATTACTTATTCTAAGTACATCACAAAGCATTATTGAAATTTCTGTATTTTGAGGACTTTCAAGGCTGCCCTAGAAATTGGATCCTCCTGTCTCTGCCTCCCAAGTGCTAGAATGATAGGCACACATCATCATGACTAGTTCCTACTAGTTCATCAGCTCTTGAGGTAAGCTAATTCCACAAACTTCTGAGGCAAATAAGAATCTGCTCTAGTATTTTAGTTATCATTTTATTATTTAATTATATTACATATGTAGATTACAGTAAACACTGAATTTCTTTTTTGTTTGTTTTGAGACAGGGTCCCAACTGACCTAGAACTTGCTATGTAGACCAAGCTGGCTTGGATTGCAGAGATCCACCTGCCTCTGTCTCCGATGCTGAGATTAAAGACATGCACCACCCTACCCAACCCCTTGCTGTTACTTTTGAGACAGGGTCTCACTGTATATAGACCAGGCTGGCATAGAACTTCTGATCTTCCTTTCTCTGTCAGTTTCCTAAGTGCTGGGATTACAGGTATATGCCACGAGTGGTTCACAATCTTTGACTACAAAAGTCATTATGTCAGTATTTGCTCACAAACTTATAGAGTAGAAAGGTTTTTTCAAAGCTCATTCTATTATGAGTCTAGAAATTTTATATAGGCAGTTCTCTATACTGCTTTTCAGCGCCACAATGAATTACGGAAAATAATTTTAAAATAGTTCAACCATATGTTATTGACCAGTTTTGTTTTCTAATTTTGCGTCTATTTCCAGCTTGCTGCACTTCCTCCTAGAACTAAGAGTAGGACAAGGAAGTTCAAATGTAGTTCCTCACAAAGGGGGAAGTATAATGTGAAAAGGATAAACACCGAAACAAGTTTATCCTTTAAAATGTTTAAATAAAAAAATTAACAGATTTGGAGCTGGAGAGATGGCTCAGAAGGTAAGAGCACTTGCTGCCCAAGTTTAAGTTCAAGTCCCAGCATGCTGGCTGCATACACCTGCAGCCCCAGTGCTGATAGGGACAGATACTGCAGAATGATGGGCTTGCTGGCTACCAACCTAGCTCCAGGTTCAGTGAGACCCTTTCTCAAGGGAATGGAGCAGAAAGTGATAGAGCAGGACACCTGACCTCCTCCTTTGGTCTCTGTACCTACACACACACACACATACACACACACACACACACACACACACACAGATTTAAATCTTTTTTTCATTTTAGTTTCTCCAGGGTGAGTTGCCCAATTTATTAAAACATATTGGGTGGAAGTTCCATTAATCTCATGCAGATAAGTATGCCATTTCTCTCTGAAACACATTTTCAGGTGCTCTGCTGTTTCACGTATACCCAAGAAAGCAGGGTTGTAGAAATAAAAAACAAAAAAATATGAATGAGCCAAGTATGGTGGTGTATGCCTGGAGTCTTTGAACTTGGAGTCCGAGGCAAGGAGAATCAGGTGTTCAAGGTCTCTACATGAGACCTTGTCTAAAAAAAAAAAAAAAATGAGTAAAAGAAAAATGAAACAATCTAAATTTTGAATCGAAGAACATATATCCCCCAAAAGTATCTTATTTTAAATGGTAGAGTCAGGACTTTCTTTTAAGCTCATATCATACAACAGAAATAGCTAAAATATAATCCACATGAGAAATTTTTAAAGCAAAAGTTTTAGTTATCTTTCATTTTTTGTATTTTTTTCTAATTGAAAATACCAAGCCAGAATTTACAAATACGCTTAAGGGGAAGCTAATCACAAAAATTAAATACTGTGTAATTCCTTTTAAAATTGTTCTTATTTTATGTGTATGACTATTTTGACTGCATGTATGCAGGTAGGTAAACCATATGCTTGCAATGCCTATGGAGGCCAGAAGGTGTTGGATCCTGTAGAACTGGAGTTATGTACAGATGGTTGTTAGCCACCATGTGGGTACTGGAAGCTGAACCCAGGTTCTCTGCAGGAGCAGCCAGTGCTCTTAACTGCTAAGCCATCTCTCCAGTCCTCCTGTGTTAATTCCTTTTACATGATGTTCAAAACCCTACAAACCAAAATAACTATACTGGTGGTGTTGCCAAATGTGGTTATAAAGGCAGAGAGCCCTTCTGGGGTGTTAGAGAAATACTCTATGCTGACATAAGCACTGAGCACTGATTGTAATCTGGCACTTGAATGTTCATTTTACTACATCTTTAAATTGAGGTATCTATTTTTGACCCTTAAAGAAAAATTGTAAAGCAGTCTTAAGAATGCCATTTAACATGCCATATTTTGTGTTTGTGTCAAGATGACAAAGCCAATAATGAAATACTCAATGTCCTTTTTCAAGGCCACCCCCCCAATGCATCCTAAATCCTACTTCCAACCTACTCCTACCTCAACCGTCTCCAAGGATGGTACACTTGATCAGCAGAGAATAAAGATAATACACTGGGGTTGGGAGCACTGGTTACTAGTGCAGTGGACCAGGGTTCAATTCTTAGCACCCACATAGCAGCTAACAACAATCTGTAACTCCAGTTACAGGGGGTCTGATGCCTTGTTCTGGCCTCTGTAGGCATTGCACATATGTAGTGCACTTACATACATGTAGGCAAAACACTCATACACATATTTAAAGATAATACACAACTAAACAGCCCAGAGGCAAGGACCCTTAAATTCCACCCTTTTAAGGACAACTCTTGCTTCCAGCCAAAAAACCAAGTTCCCAAAAGGAAACTGAAATCCTAATGTAGTCACTAACCTTTTAAACCATGACTTTGATATATCATCTGTATTGCTGTACTGTAGTTCACAAAGAGGTACCTGTATCCAACCATCTGAAATTTCCAATGTAATTTTATGTAAACAAATTTTTTGTTTGTTTTATTTTGAGAGAGTCTCCCTGTAGCTCCAGCTGGCCTGGAACTCATGCTATGTAGACCAGGTTGGTTGCAATCTCACTGAGCCTGCCTCTTGCCTCTGGGGTCAAAGGTGTGCATCACCACTCCCGGCTCCTTAAACAATTTGATCAGGCTAAAAAAAAAGATAGAAAATTGTTTCCCCAAGGTTTTCATTACCTGTTACCTTTCTTTTTCTCTAGTTTTTTACTTAAGAAATAATCAGAGAGATTAAATTTAACAGTTCAAAGGAGGACAGTTTATTTTAAAATATTACCAGCCACTTGCTCTAGACTACCTTCAACTCCCTAGTTTTTGTGATTTCTGTAAAAACAAACAAACAAACAAACAAAAAAAAAAACCAGACAAGACAGAGTGTAGTATAGCAGACAGGTGGAGTTTATTAAGATAATGTGGACCCTCACAAGGGATGGAGTGGGCAGTGGTCAAAGGGACCTTGCAGAGGCCAAGAAACATTTTCATGGGGTGATGACACAGCACAATCATGGTGGCAAACGCCTTTAATCCAAGGATTCTGGAGGCAGAGGCAGGGGGATCTCTGTGAGATGGAATCTAGCCTGGTCTTCATAGCAAGTTTCAGTTCAGCTGGGGCTACAGAGAGACCCTGTCTTAAAAAAAAAAAAACAACCAAAAGAAAAAACAGAAACTCCAAACCCAACACTTCCATGGGGTGACAGTGGACAATAGCCAGAGAAACTCATTACAAGTTTAAATAGGCTTGTACTATTTAACTTTCTGGAACAGACAACGTTCCTGAGGGGCACTTTCCTGTTAGGTGACTGACAGGCCCATCTGGATTAACTCTTATGGCCGTGGAACAATGGTTAAGTCTTTGTTCTTCACCAGAAAGCTCTCTTCTTCTGCAGTACACAGCAACCTTATGATATTTTGGGCAGTTTAAGAGTATCACATCTTCACCCGGGGCTAGAGATGGGACTTAGATCCCAGTTTTGTGACAAGTAATCAGAGTCCTGCAATGAAAAGTTCCTGCTTTTGTAAACTGCAGGTTTTGAGTGAGAGGTCCACCCTGAGTGACCTTCAAGACTGCTAATTTGACTAGCTAACAGTACGCTGCTGGTCCAGAGGAGGGCCGGAAATAATGGGGTATGGTGCTCAGGCATCAACCTCACAATGACTTTATTACCTTTGTTTGTTGTGACAGTGTCTCTCTGTAGCCTCAGCTGGCATAGAACTCGCTATGTAGACCAGGTTGGCCTCGCTCTCAGAGATTATCCTGTCTCTGCCCCTGAGTGCTGCGATTAAAGAAGTGTGTTATCGCGCCCGGCGGGTGCCTTACGCTGGATATTCTGACTTCAGTCAAAATAAGTACGACTTCAGGTACTTTCGAAGAAGCCGGCTTCTACAAACTAACAGAGCTGGGGCGATCGCAGCGTTTGGAAGGTGGAGACAAGAGGAAGAGAAGTTCCCAGACAGCGTCCGCTACACTGTAACCCAGCTGGAAGCCAGCCTGGGTTACAGCGGACTGTCAAACAAACAAAAGATACAGGGGAGGTAAAACGCCATTTTCCTGAAAGTTTTCGTTAGCTGACCTGCAAAAAGGGCTGAAAATATCTAAGCAAGGCCTATCATGGCTGTCAGGCCGGGTAGAGGGAGCAGTGGGCAGTTCTTGCTTTGGGCAGGTCTTTTCGAGGAGGTGCGGTGGCAGCTGAGGCTCCGGGGAACTCGGTGCTAGGTCAGCGGGTACCTGGTCGGGGCACCCCCGCTTCGGGAAGGAGCCGGTACACGGACGGAGAGACTCACTTGTGGAAGGCGGCTTCCAGTGAGCAGGCGCGGTCAGTGCTAGCCCCCGCCCGGCGAGCTTTCCGCGGCCCGCCGGCTTCCGCAGACGTCAAAGGTCCTGTGAGCGCTCCCTTCAAACCACTGGTCCAGGGCAGGCCAGCTCCGCGAGCCCGCGGCCCGCGCCATGCACGTCACTCTGCGCGCGCCAATCGCCGCCAGGCCGTCGCTCTCCCCGCCGCCCCGGCCCCTCCCGCGCCGCCGAGCCCGCGACCTCCCGCCGGGCCTTCGGCTCTCGCGCAGGCGCGGCAGCCGCCGAGCTGTTGGGGACGCGGGCGCGGAGCTGACGGGCCGACAGGATGGTCTTGGAGAGCGTGGCCCGCATCGTGAAGGTGCAGCTGCCCGCCTACCTCAAGCAGCTGCCGGTCCCGGAGAGCATTACCGGCTTCGCTCGCCTCACAGGTAACCCTTCCCTGCAGCCCGGTCCTCCCGCCGCCTCGGAGCGAGTGGAGCAGAGAGTCAGGGGCGGAGCGAGCCGACCAGCGGCATGTGACCGGGCCCTGCGTGCGCATGCGCACCAGCGCGGCGGAAGTGAAGCCGGAACCGTGCGCCGCCTGTGGTGGCGCGGGCCCCAACCCTGGAGTTATAGGATGACCTGAGTGCCGCTCAGCGATGACCGCATTTCTAAATGAGGCGCTGGGCTCGGAGCGGGCTATCTTCCCTCCGTCGTGTTCGTCGCTCATTGCAGCGCGCTTATTTAAAGTGTTCGTTTCCGAGGCGTCGTGTGCGCGTGGAGACAAGGACGGCCCCCCGTAAAGCGTGGATGGTGGTTTTTATTTAGTAACTGGATTAAACGTGACCTCCGTCCCGAAGGGTACCTGGAAGCTTGGGGTCACTTCCGTAACGACAGCCCCGGGAGCAAGTTGAGGCGGTAGGGGTACAGAAAAGATAGCCACGAAGCCTCCCAAGGCTGATATGCAGCGCCTCTTAGAACATCAAATGTGGATGGACGCAGCCTAGTGTAGCCACGGGCCCGCCTGTGCCATAAAGATGTCGCAACTCAGTATTTCACCTCTTGAGGATAAAACCTCCAGAATGTAGCCAGTATTTGGAAGGTTTTGTTGGGTTCTGAGCGTTACAATGTAAGGTAGATGTTTCTAAATTTTATCCGTACACCGACTGGGATGGTGAGAAAATCAAGGTTTGAATTGTATCCGGGCTATCCAGGAATGCAAAAAAATATGAAGATAATTCTGAGCGAGGTAGGTTTGCGTAGCCGGGAGCATTCTATAGACTAGTAGATGACTTCAAATACAGTGATTGAAGACTGGTGGAGGAAAATAAGATTAATTCTGTCTAGACCAGAAGACAATTCGTAACAAATCGGTGAGGAGTATCGAGATGACTGTCAGCCCCCAAGGGAGTTTCTTATTTTCTCTTGGTTTTTGTTAAATATTTTACTAAAATAGATGTGCATTTGATGCTAGCCCCTCTTGGTGATTAAAAATAAGGGACTTGCGGTAGGTGGAATTAGATGGATAAACTGTATATGCATACCCGTATTATCAGATTTTATGGCTAATGACAGCTGCTCCGTTAATAAATAGGTGGTGAGATTTTAGCATTTTTAAATGTTGAGGTTTGGTGGATGTATGAAATTGATTAGCTAAATAATAAACACAGAAACGTGTAGACATCTAAAGGGACATAAAATTAACAAAGTGAAAAAAAATCCTTCAAATTTCCCAAGTGTCCATAAACATCAAAACCTCTTGAACCTCTGAAATTTTTTAAATTTTGCTTTTTTTTGGAGACAGAGTCTTCCCGTAGCCCCATCTGGCCTGGAAATTGTATGTAGACCAGGCTGGCTTCCATCTCACAGAGATCTGCCTGCCTCTGCCTCCAGTGTTGAGACCAAGGGCTTCTCCACCATGCCTGGCTCTCCATCATTATTTTAATAAATTGTAGCAATTGTGTAAAAATGACTTTATCATTACTTAAGCATTGTATTTAAAGTAATTCTCTTGTCATTGTTTGAACACTTTGTTTCACATAAAGTAACAAAATAGTGTTAGAGTATCACAGTAATTCTAACCATTCTCTTGTAGCTTGAAATTTGGAATGCTGCTTTTGAAAAAGTTAGAATTGTAGTAGTTGATTCCCTCCCTCTTTGAGTTACATACTCTTGAATGTCGTCAGTGAATTGGTAATGCAAAGTCCAAAGAATGGTTATCTTGTGACATTTGTTCTGTTTTGCCAATTTACTTTAATAATACGTATTAGCTTTTTAAAAATATAACAATACAGTTTATTTAATATTTTATTTTTATTATGAGTGTATTGCCTGCATCTGAGTGCACCCATGTCATGCCATGCCCATGGAGGTCAGAAGTGGGTGTTAGATCCCCTGGAACTGGAATTATGGATGGTTGTTAGCCACCATGTGGGTGTTGGGAAGCTAACCTGGGTCCTTTGCAAGAGCAGGCAGTTTCCATAACTGCTGAGCCATCTCTCCAGCCTCCATTAATTAGCTTTGTAGCAATTCAAAAGGAATCAGTCTCCTCTCACCCTAGTCTAGGGCAACCTGAATTATATATGTTGGTTCTGGCTGTGGCTACACTTGTATTAGTTTCAGGTTTTTTTTTTTTTTTATAAACAGAATGTACTTGAAACAGATTAGAAAGTATGGCACTGGGTTAGTGGCTAGTTTTTAAAAGCATATGTTCTTGAAAGCCCCGCTGTCAACAAATGTTTAATTCCTATTTAAAGGCATTAAGGAAATTCAACCTTGACTTCCCCCCCTCTTTAATCAATAGTGTATAGTAATTTTCACTTGAAATTATGAAATATTTAATGTGAGGACTATTAAGTATAATGACAATTCTGATACCTGTTGTTTTGTGTCATTCTGTTTTCAGAGGTTGTCTCCTGCAATACAGTGTTTGAGGCTGGCCTCAAATTTACTATGTAGTTGAGGGTGATGATGAACTCCTGATCCTCTGCCTTACCCTTCCCATTATAGGCCTGCTTGTACTACCACACCTGGCTAACTGTAACATCTCAATAGTAGATCTAAAATTTTATTTATTTTTTTATGTGTATGAGTGTTTTACCTGATGTAAGTGCACCCGTGCATGCAGTGCCCACTGAGGCAGGAAAAGGATGTCAGATCCCCTGAAACTGGAGTTACGGATAGTTGCTAGCTACCATATTGGTGCTGAAAATGGAATCTGGTTCCTACAAGAGCAACTGGTGCTCTTAACTGCCCAGCCATCTCTCCAGCCCCTTAATAAGTAGACATCTTAGCCCCATTATGGTGTCTACCATTTAACTGTCATAATTTTTTTGGTCTTTTTGTGTTGTTGTTGTCTTTTTGAGACAGGATCTCCCTGTAGCCCTAGCTGTCCTGGAACTCACTATGAAGACCAGGCTAGCCTTGAACTCATAGAGATCTGCCTGCCTCTGCCTCTTGAGTGCTGGGATTAAAGGCATTTGCCACCCCCAGCTTAACATTCATAATTTGAATTGCTTGTTTGTTCAAGAAACATGAATGTCCTTGAAATAACTGATTTATGAAAGCAATCTGTTTTGAATAGAGCAACAACAGTTGCAGGCAGTTGAAGTATTCTTTTTTTAAAAAATATTTTATTTATTATTTTTATTTTATGTGTATGAGTGTATTGCCTGCATGTAAATAAGTGCTACAAACTGTCCTTAATTCCAGTTCCAGAAGTATTCATTTTTACAATTTATTTTACTTTATGTGTATGAGTGCACATGTGTTGTTCAGTGTCTGAGGAGGCCAGAAAAGGGCATCAACTCCCCTGGAACTGAAGTTGTGAACAGTTGTTAGCCTCCATGTGGGAGCTGGGAATGGAACCTGGGTCCTCTGCAAGAGCAGCCAGTGCTCTTAACCCCTGAGCCATCTCTCCAGCCCAGCCCCCTATTTTGAAGTATTCTTGGTAGAAAACTTCAAGCTGTTTTTCACTCCATCTCCCCTTCAGAGTAGAGTAATAGCTAATGGCATTTGGCTTTCTTGAGTCAACTCCTTGGGGAATCTATAAATGAGGACTTTTCATTGAAGTATATACTTGGAAAATAGTTTTTCAGCACTTCATTTAAGTATGTAGGAGACCAAAAAGAATTACCATTTTCTTCTATGGAAATTAGTCAGAAAGGAGGCTAGAGAGATGGCTCAGGGGTTAAGAGCGCTAGCTCCATAACTCCAGTTCAAGGGATCTGACACACTCTTCTGATCTCTGTGGGCACTGCACGACACGGGTGCACTTACACACATGCAGGCAATACACTCATACACACAAAATATTTTTTGAAATGTGTCAAAAAAGTTATAGTTCACATTACTGTTGCTTGCATTTCCTTCCCTATTTGGATTTGATGGAGGGTTCCCCCCACCCTCACAAAAGCAGTTGGCCTTCTCATGATGACTCTGCATTCTTGGAAAACACATGAAGATTCTTAATTACCATAGAGTATTTAAACATAGTTTTGATCCGTCAGAAACAAACGGTCCTTCTTTCTGTTAGATTTGAGAATAATGCCTGTTAGGTAAACTAGTGTAATCCTTCCCTTTGGAAGTATAATTATAATACTTTGAGCCTCAAAAGAAAAGTTTTTACCATCACATAAACTTTAAAAATAGAACTGCAAAAAGAAAAATGTTCCCTTTCAAGTCAGAAAACAGTTTATTTCTAGATTTGCAAGCTGGCCTTAAAATTTTGGCCACTTGAATTAGTTTGCTTCTTTGTAACTTAATAGATTTTACTCTTAAAGACCAACCATTGAGAGACTTGTAACCCAAAAGTATCAGCCTTATAGTAAGTTCATTCCTGTTATTTGTCTAGAAGGAACAAGTTTTGAACCTGTAATTTAGAAGTAGGATAGAATTGAAAACATACCCAGGCCTGTAGAGATGGCTCAGTGGTTAAGAGCACTAACTGCTCTTTCAGAGGACCCAGGTTCCGTTCCCAGCACCCATATGGTGGCTAATAGCCATTTATAATTCCAGTTCTAGGAGATCCGACACCCTTTCTGGCCTCTGCAGACGTTGCACATGGGTGCATTTACATGCGGGCAGAACATTCATACACATTAAATCAAAATAAATAAAAAGTGAAAAGACAGCGTATGCCCTTAGAAAAACTTGCCCGAGGGGCTAGAGAGATGGCTCAGCAGTTAAGAGAGCACACTGCTTTTGCAGAGGACTTGAATTCACTTCTCAACTCCCACATCAGTGGTTCACAACTACCTGTAACTCCAGATCCAGGGGATCCCATGCCTCTGGCCTCTCCGGGCACTTGCACTCATGTATGTACACATAACTGACACAGGTGCACACAAATCCACAGAATTGAAAATAAAATTTTAAAAAATCCTGCTGAAGTATGTTTGTAATAGCCGTATTTATAATGTTCTTCCAAGCTGGAAGCAGCCTAAACCCC